AATTGACATTTTTTATTTTTCAGTGCCTGTTGGACCTTTTCTAATATCCATTTCATCCCTTCCCCCGCCCTCTCGTCCAACTCGGTACCCTCGTGTACGACTTGGTCTATGCCCATATTGTCATCTCCGCATTATCACCCCCTTAAAATTTATCAATCCCCTGGGATCGTTGCCTAAAAATACCGTTGAATAGACCGATAGATCGATACGGATTATCGATAATTATCAAATCAGGAAGCGATCAGGATGAATCAGTTACCGAAGAGCTGATATGGGTGGTCGATGGCCTAGTCTGATTTTTGAAATGACATACGTAAACATACGCAAGAAGGTTGGGCAAATGGGATATGTCGAGTGCATATAAAGAATTGTATAAAATTAAAAAAAAATATATATATAAATACTATACAAAAATATGATATTATACATTAGTATTAGGATTTTCTCACCCAGAAAAAAAAAACGAAACCCAAAGCCGACTAGACCACGAGGTTCGGAAAAACGTAAACGTTCCTACTGTACGTAGCCATGCTAAACGTGCTAAACGGTATGGCAGATGTACTATGGTAGCGTCCACAGTGGAAATCCATGGTAGAGATCCTGAAGGTTGTAAAAGAATCGGACGAGCAATAAAGTAAACCTGGAAATCCCATAATTAATAGAGTCTAAGAAGCTCTTTTTAAGATATCCTGGAGTACAAAAGTAGGGGGTGGAAATAAGAAATAGCATTATAAAAGAAAAAAAAAAGTGTAAAAAAAATTTAATTTCCAAAAATTCATCAATATTTTCTTTTGACACGGCACTCGCATCCTCTGTAAGATTAGCGAGATGACCTCATGAAATCTCGAGGGTACATAGGTTACGTGTAATATATATATATATTTGTGTGTAGGTTGCGTGTCTCTCTTACACGTGTACCATGAAGATGATGCTTGACAAAGAAACGTATAACAAAGACGTGCGTGTCACTGCGTACAGTTTTCTCTCTATCGACCAAACGTCGAGATAACGTTGGTAGCAGCTAGAAGGGAAGTCTAGAGCAAAGTGGAGGAACGCAGCTAGTGCCCGGTATCCCCCACAGAGCGCATAAAGCGTAAAAAGTGGAGGAAAAAAAAAAGTGCAAGAGACGGAGGATACGGGTGCTGGAGAGAAATGGAGTAAATAAAAATGAGAAAAGAGAAGAAAAAAGAGCCACGGCCCCGCTTAAAGAACACGTTCTCGCAGTGTGGGTCAGTCAGGACGTTCGTACGAAGGGGAAATAATTAATGTCGAAATTTCAAATAAACACAGGGTAGAATGCGCTGATGAGTCTAGATGTAAAAAAATAATTTTTTTCATTGAGAATAAAAAGGCATCCAGTTGCTGGGAAGGAAAACAAAGTAGCAAAAATGTGAAAACGAAGCTGACCCTTCTGAACGTGACAAAAATTTGGGCAATAGTCCAAAAAAATTATTTCGTGAAATTTAAGCCGACTGACACGAGCCCTGGGCTGGATTTAATGACTCTACCGATTTTTGGTATGGAATTTTGAAATAATAATATACGCTGTCACGTGGTAGAAAGATTCTTGTGTCATTTTATGAGAATCATTAGACATGGGCAATATAGGTATTGCGAGCAGGTACGGTTTTTGTGGGTGCCTAAGCGGGGTTCTCTATATTCTAAAACACATAAAACTGTATTGACGTGGAAGAATTGTAAAAAATTTTTTTACAAATTCTACGATTCATAAAATACGTGAAATTTGGAATTTGGAACAAATTTTCTAATTTTCGAGTTTTCTTCCAGAAACATAATCGCCGATGACATGACAGCACTGCTGACGATGTACAGCGTTGCCAGCTATCCCTCCCCGGAAATTACTATGATTCTGATATGAGATCCGAAATGATTTCGTCGTTAAAAAAAAATTTTATTATGAAAATTTTTGACCTGACTTTTTTTAGCTGGATACTTGAACTCTGAAATCCTCTGAGCCTATTACACTTTTTATCTTTTAGATCTGAAGATCACGTGAGAAAACTACAAGGAAAAAGCCGTCTGCAATTTTTTTTTATGTGGCTGTACTAACATTTACTTTTTTTAAGTAGCAAGTTATCATTAAAGAGTTCCTCACATTCTCTTTTAATACGACGTGATGAAATCAAAATTTGAAAAACTTCTAACATTTTAACCTTAAGTTATCAAATTCAAATCGATCCATATACGATGCACTATTTAGCAACAATAAACATCCTGAATTGAGATCAAAGATACATTTTTATTAATTAGCCACCCCTCCTGTATCATACATCATTATCGTTACAATTTGACCAACGATAACATAATTTTTGGTAACGCAATAAAAAAAAATAACTTTGATAACCCACTGACACTTTTACGAATAGCTACCATTTTGATTTACGCAGAATAATTTCAGGAGCCAACTTTACTTCATATATAGAGATATCGATATAAATCGATACATTAAAAAATCGAACTACTATAAACCGACTAACCGATTCGGTAAGCAAATCTAATACGAGATAAATAAACAATAAAGAACAAAAGTCGATTAATTTTTAATGTATGTACACACTGTATATGCTGGTATGAACAAAACAAAACATAACCACACTTTTCCGGATGACGAACTTGACATCGGATTTCCACTGACTCCTGCAGTATCAATTTCATTTTCATGACGTATATCTCAATCCGGATCACGTATCCTGAAAGATCTTTGTCCCGAGATAATTATGATAAATATATCTAAGTATATTAGTATCGCAGCATGAAAATTCTTTATCGACACTTCGCCATCTGTCGGTCATTACCGGAACCAGATATTCTAATCTGTGACCAAATTTTAATCTATGTAGTTCCGCGTGTTGTGAAAAATGTCACGACTCACGGTGCGGTGTCACTTTACAACGAGATAACTACCGACTGATAAGAAGTGGTCACTAGCGAGGAGAAAGAATAATTTCTAAAATAGTAAAATTTAGTAAACCGTAAATAATCAAAAATCTATGAGACAGTGCCAAAAATGTAACAGACATAAATTTCATAGAAAATTGCGACGAGAGAGATAAATAAGAAAATATCATATAAAAAAAAAGAAGTCATCGAAATATTGTATCAACGAGAGCCGAAAGTAATTGCAATCGATAACAAAAGAAAGTGTGGAAAAACGTGACATATGCCGTAAAGCCGAAAACTTTAATCCCGAAGAAATTGGTTACGTGATTAATCGAAGGGTGTCATGAAAAATCATAAAGATTTATTATACCTTACGTAATCGATCGATAGTGTCAAATACTCTATTGTCAAAGATCGATTTACTCAAGGATATATCGATACGAGACGAAGTCGGACAAATCGTAAAGACTGTGGATTGGTGGTACTGGCTGCTGGGTAAATGTGTACACGTGGAGTGGCAGCCATCTTTGAACTTTGAGAATCACGTCTCCAGGAGGCTTCTGGGTAGGACTGTGACGAAACACATAGGGATTTTCGTACGGGAGTAAAGACTGGTTGAATGTATTGAAAAAATGTTCAAATCAAGGAAAAATCGAATTGTACGTGAAATTGTTGAGATTTAATTTTCAAATAAAAATTTCTTCTCCCACGTTCATTGACATCGTAGCGGTATCGTTGATGGCCACCGTTATGTTTGTTTTCGTTGCTATGGCTCTCGGACTTGGTTCTGTAAAATTTCAAAATGCCCTAGAGATTGGCAATCCTGTTACTTCGTGCTTCCATGCGTATATTTATCATGCTGAAAGCCTGGTTCACACTAGGCGAAACGTGGTTGACCGCAATTCGATCCACGCGTAAATAGAGCGGGTAATTTAATTTCATCGGATACGATTATTCGAATGATTCCTGGGTCGGTAACGGGAGTAAATAGCGGCGAACAAAACGGAACGTTCAGTCGGTCATTTTAGTGGTGAACTTTAGCAGGCTTAGTCACGTATCAACTACATTTCGACACGTTCCATGAGCTTTCACGAAGTTTCAGGAACCAACAGTTTGATTCAGTCAGGATTATGTGTGCATGCATCAACCTCGTTGAGATACATCTTTAAATGATCCTTAGGAAAATGTTCACGTGACTGTAAAAAGAGTATAAAATTTTTTAATTTCATATAAAACATAAATCAAAAAAATTGTATAGGAAAACCAATAGCAACGTACATACCAATTCTTTGTATATTATTATTATACCAAAAAATACGAATAAAAGATATACCGTGAAAATCTGGAAAAATGAGTAACAGAAAAAAAGTTACGGGTTTCCGCTTATCGTGTCCGATAACGATCAACTGGTGTGACAACTTTCGAAACGTCCTGTAACTCACGTTAAGACCCAACACGTTGATACCGTGGATGACAAAGTTGCGTAACAGCAGTTGTGTGTATACGATCGACACGTGCTCGTACGTGTGAACGAGCCTGTATATACACACGCGACAGTCATAATGTTCTAGAACATTAGTTCGAAACGGGACCAAAAATTGATTGTTAAATATTTTTGGTTCGGATGTGAAAAAAAAAATGATGGAAAATAGCTGAATCGAAAGAAAAAAAAGTTATATAATTATGACCAGCAGTGTAGCCCAGGATCAAAACTTCAGAAGATTCGCGATCCAATCGATCATCGAAAATGACCGCGAAATAAGACCAAGTGCAAGTTCAAGGTGGATAATCTCGATCAACCTTTCTTGACTATCTCAATAAAAGATTGATCACGTTGACAAAGGTTATTTCTCTTGACCCTGTCAGGTGGAAAAAAAAGATGTGTCAAAAAAAATGGACAAAGCTGTCCCTAGGAAGAATACAAAAAATTTCATTTTTTTTTTGCGGGATTTTCCGATTTATCAGTCAATCGAAATAGCCACGGGGAGTCTTGACCCCAAAAAAAATCGCTAGTCATGAACAGACACGAGGGTAGCAAACGAAAGTGAGATAAATAAAGAAAGTTTGAGGATGATTCTAAGAGGGAGGAAATGACTCACCTCTGGGTGGTGCCGGTGGGGCCCTCTTTGGGGTGTCGTCCGCAGAGGGCGTACGTTCCCTCATGCTTTCCTAGCACCCCACGGAGCCACCATTTAACTGGGGCGCACGTGCCGCACACCTCTGCGAAAAGAAAAGCACAGAAGGAAGGACCTTCGTGAGTAAGATTCGTGAAGGCACGAAGAAACTCAAGCGAAATCAAACCTCTGTGGCGCGCGCATGCGCGCTGGAAAATAATCAGCTGACATAAAAATGGATACTGTATATCTGCCATTGTCAGGATGCAGCCGAAGTACAATAGAAATGACAGTTTACAGAGCGATAGAAAAATAGGAGAGTCCAAATCAAAATGGCCTACCATGCCATTACTCGGATACACAAGACACTGCGAGGGTCCCAATTTGATTCCTCAAGAAAAAAAAAGTTTCCTTGGGACAGACCTTCAGCAGAAGGTCGAAGAAAAAAAATGTCACAGGGAACCTCGTCGTTGGCACAACACCAAATGTTTCGATTCACTCCCCAAAGCTGCCAAGGGGATAGAATATCGGACTGATTTTCTAGCACGGTTTATATACACACAACACAAATATCTATATTTACGTTTCAAACGTAATTCATCGAGGTTGAGAATCCCTGCGTAATGTACGAATAGTTTTTTGTCCAAATGCCGTTATCTTGCACGCAGCGTATTTTCTTCACTGCGTACCACGGGTATCGGCACGGAACCTAACCACACTTTGACAAGCACAGAATTTGGTAGTAAATACGCAGATGGGTAACGTAGCCGTGTAACGTTATTTTTCGAATTTTCCCTTTAGTCTCTGCGCCATGTTTGTTTTTACAAGGTTTCGGATGAGAAACACTGAGCAACGCATCACTGCCGTTACGTTACGGTGCACCTATCGCCATCTTTTATTCTCTCACTGTTTCTCAGACTCTCTCTCGCTCGCTCTCGCTCTATCTTTTCCACTCTCGTTCACGTCGAAACTCCGCCAGGCAAATTCACATGGCAACCACTGCTCGGACGTAGAAGGCTCGCCGAAGCAGGCAGAAACAGGCCTCGGGGCTTCGGGCGATCCGGCTGCTACGTGTTACGTACTACGTGATACGTACTATAGGGTATTCGTGACGCTTCTCCTCCTCGTAGACTGGTGGGTGTGTGAAACGATTCGTGGCGAACCTTCTATCGCGGTACTGTTATCCACCGACTCTGCCACTGGACGGGAATGCTGTAAAAGTCCATTTTCGATTTTTCGTCTGTTCCAAGATGGAGGAGTTCAAAAATGACGAGGAAGCGTTCACGGGTATTTTCACGAAAACTCCTGCAATTATTCACTCCGTACGGAAGATAGAAAGGGTATAGGGATTTTTAATAAGACAATATGCCCTTTGTCTAGGGAATTTCATAATTAAAAAATCATTCCAGTAAACCGATTGATATAAATAATACCACCGTGCATATAGCATGTGGCGCCACCTGGCAAAATTGCAAAATCAACGAAGGTCGACGATAACGAGAAAAATTACGTCCTTGTGGATGAGACTTAAGGATGCATAAATTCCATCGGCAATGGAGGATTATCAGTGGTTGTCCATTACAATTTTTATCTAACTTTTTCGAAATACAACAATCAAACTTGTAAATATAATTAGCTAATTTTTTTATTGTACATCTTACTTTTCACGCGTTGTCCGTGTATTTAGTTTCGCAGAAAGTAAATGTAAAAATTTCAAACGGCCATTGACGTCGCCCAAAGAAAGGCGACTGTCGGGCTTCCATGTTCCTTCGCTTCGGGACAAAATCGATGTCTACGTTTCCGCAGGAAGGAGATACGCGATTGTCGAGAACACCGGATACTCTCTTCTTCGTATTGGCGAAAGGTACTGAAGGTACCTACCGTCCTAAGGTACTCCGATAACGATAACGAGGTAGTACTAAGGTGCCGTGCGATAACGCAAGATACTAATGTAAGAGACCTACTTCGCCAAAAATCGATGCATCCCAACCAGTACTGTTACGTCTACTTCGTACCAGGGAACGAAGTCCTAGATATTTTTCTCGAAAAAAAAAAAAAAAAAAAAAAAAAAACAATACAAGTA